CGTCCCCGGGGGCAGCCGGAACGGATGACCCCTGGCTGCCAGGAACCCACCGGGCACTGTTGGGAGGAAGCTCGCAGCCTCCCAGCTGGTCCAGCTCAGGGCGCGGGGCTGGGGAAGCAGGGGCAGGGGCTGGCGGCTGCCTGCCCAGAGGGCTGTGCCGGGGCCGCGGGGGAACGCGGCCAGAGAGGCGAGGCTGGGAAGGCAGCGCCGGGGCCTGACTCACTCGCCTTCCCCCGCTGGATCCAGTTGTGGGAACGGCCCTGCTCCCCCGCCCCGGGACGCGGTGCAAGGGACAGGGCCCGCGGCGCTGCCAAGCTGGGCGGCCGCGGCCAGGCCCTGACGGCAAGCGGGAGTCGGGTTTCGGGCTCCCACAGAAAAGGTCTTGCTCCCATCGTGGAGCTGCCAGCGGCCCCGAGCCGGCTGGGATGGGGGGGACAGTCGCCCGCCCCGGCTCCGGCCCATGGCGGGGAGCAAGGGGGTCGGCCGGCCTGCAGCTTGGGTAATACCATTAGGGGGTCGGGACCTCAGCTGGAAACATCCTGTGAGCAAACTCTGAGCTCTCCCGCGTGGTCGTGGCTGCGGCCACGGTCGTCCTGCTGCTGCGCGGAGCTGCTGGGGCAAGAGCAGCCTTGGCAGAGCTCACGGGGGTTGAGTTTGGACAAGCCGAGGTGCTCCTTCAAGCCCAGCGACTGCCCCCATTTCCTCTGCCTCCCCCCAGGGCGGTGAGGCCCGAGCGGGTCCCGAGGGGGCCAGCGCCCTTGGAAAGCAGTGCCAGTACCCCCCTCCCCGCCGGACACAAGCCAGCACGCCCAGGGCTTGCTGTCAGACCTGTACATTTATTTACATGAAGCCGAGAGCGCGGGGGCGTCTCTCCGGAGAAGGAGCAGGGCCATGCTGTGCTGCAGGGGGGTGCTGGGGGCGGGGGTGCACACACGGGGCTCGTGCCCCGCTCAGGCCGAGGGCAGGGCAGCATTGCAGAGGGGCAAGGGGGATGGGGCGAGCGGGCACGGTTCCCCGTCATCGATGAAGCCGCACGGGCTCTGCCAGCAGCCCGGGTGCCAGGCCAGGCTGGGACGGGCTCAGCGGGGGACATGCCCTGGGGTAACAAGCAGAGCCAGGGGCGTGTGCAGGAAGGCAGGGGCTCGCCCGGGGTGTCCCCGAGCATCTTCCTCCTCCCCACGCCCACGCCCCCGCTCTGCATGCCTGGAGGACAGGTCCCCCCTGGAGCCGCGCCAGCCCGAGAGGCGGAGGGCCCGTTCGGCCGAGGCCCAGCTCCCTCCCGCCGGGTCCCGGGGAGCGCGGGCGGTGCCGGTGGATCCGGTGCGTTGGTGGTCAGGACCAGAGCGAAGCTCTCACATGTGCGCTGGGGAGCGGCCGCCCAGCTGGTCCGCATTAGGCCGCCCGGGCGCTTCGGGGGACGCGTGAAGGGAAGGTTGTGTTCCTTGCCCCCGCTGGCAGCGCCCGAGGGCAGCGGGGTGTGGTGCGAGCACAAAGCCTCCTTCATTCTCACCCGGCCTCCATCTGGGGATGCTCCTGGAGTCCACGCTCGCCACTCCCTCCCTTCCTTCCTGCCCTCCCCGCGCGCGCTCGCTCACAGGAACTGCGGCTCCGGTCTCCAGGAGGGGAGAGGCCAGGGGCTGAGCTGGCCCCTGCCCCAACACCTGCCTTCTCCCCGCTTCTAGGGGGCGCCCCCCAGGACCCTGAATCCAGACGTAGCAGACATCCATCCTGGGAGCGGGGCCAGGCGCCCGGGCCGGAGCAGGGACCGTGGTGCCAAGGTAGCAGAGGGCGTGCAGTGGGTGCAGCGGGGCTTTGCCTCTCCCTCTCCACGCTGCTGAGCCGGTGGGGCCAGAGCAGGAGCCGTCGCGAGGAGAGGAGAGGAGAGGAGAGGAGGGGGGGAGGCCGAGCAGGACCCCCGCTCTCCACAGCAGGAGCAGGCATCTCGCAGCACGAAGGGATTCAGCTCGGCAAGTCCAGACCCCTGCTTGGGGTTGCAGCCGGGGGCCAGGGGCCGGCGTCTAGCAGCCGGTGGGGCTCAAAGCAGGCGAAGCACTGGGATCCAGCACTGAGAGAGTGCTTGCAGCTCCAGCCCAGAGCCCTCCACGCCATAGGAGCCAGGGCAGCTGCAGCCTCGGGGGCCAGGAGCTAAGGGCAGCAGGAAGGAAACTTCCCAGGCGAGGAGGACTCCAGCGGTGCCGGCTGAAGGGATCCCAAGCAGCAGCCTCGCCGGTGCAGTCGTCTCCCGGGGGCTGGAGAAACGGGGCCGCAGCGGCACTCACAGCAGCGGAGGCCTGATACGTGCAGGGGCCGGCGGGGGCACAGCCCGCCTCTCTCCAGGGCTTGCAGCTCCTGCGTCTCCAGCGGCCCCACTGCCGCCACCCCGAAGCCGGGACCGGGCTTGGCAACGCACAGTTCAGGCGGCGGGCGGCGGCCCCCCCGGCCTTACCCCCAGGTCCGACACCCCTTCCCGCCAGTCCGGCCCCGCGCTCAGACCCCCAGCGCCGTCAGGGACCCCGAGCTGCTGATCTTCTTGAACCGGTTGGCAGCGCACACGCCGATGAAGTTTTTCTGTTTGCAGGGGAAAAAGGGGCCACGTCAGAGCAGCGCCAGCCACGCCGGCCGGCTCCAAGGGCCCCAGTTCCTGCGTCCTGGACTCCCGCTCCCTTGCCCCCTCCCCAGGCTGCCCCTGCTCGCCCAGCGGGCATCCTCCGCACCTTCCAGCGCCTCCGCATGACATATTTCCGGAGCAGGACCTGGGACTTGAGGCGCCGGTTGCTGCGCTTGGCCTTCTCGCCCAGGTTGTTGAGCCAGGGGTGCTTCAGGCACTGAGCCGCACTCAACCGGCCGCTGCGGGCAGGACAGGGCTGGTGACTCTCTGGGAGACCCCCCTGGGCTCCCGAACCCCTCCCGATGCAGACCTGGGCTGCAAGCGCCGGACCCCAGCTGCAGCCTGTGAGCGCTCCCAGCCCCAGGGTCCCTGCCGTGACCCCCCTCCAGATGCAGCCTGCTGGGGCTATCAGGCCCGGTGGGCAGCTGTGAGGCACATCTGGCTTGGGAAGGCGGGGGCACGCTTCCCTATAGCTATACAGCCCACGGGCTCACGCGGGGCTGCAGCTTGCTGGTGGCTCTCAGCTCCCCGGTGGTCAACCCGAGCTCTCCCTGCATCCCCCCTCCCCGGGCAGGCAGCACCTCTTCTCCTTGATGATGAGATTGGAGACGAAGTCCTTGGCCTCCTCCGAGATGCCCTCGAAGGTCTCCTCGTCGAAGTACCAGTCGGCTGCCAGCACGTTGTTGAGGGTCTCCGTGTCGTTGTCCCCCATGAAGGGGGAGAGGCCGCTGAGCCTGGGGGCATGGGGGGAAAGGAGGGGGTGGTGAGTGCCCAGCGAGGAGGGGCAGGCTGCAGCTGGCCCCTTCTGCCGGGCCCAGCTCCTCCCACCCGTGAGCACCGGGAGAGTTGCCTGAGGTCATCCAGCGAGTCAGTGGCAGAGCCGGGAACGGAACGCAAGCCCCAGTGCTCGCTTGCTCGCTCGCTCGCACGCACCCCCCGCACACACACACCCGCCAGCCCCACGGGGGGAGAGGGGAGGGCACTGCCCACGTACAGCATGTAGGTGATGACACCCATGCTCCACATGTCCGTGGAGTAGGAGACCTGCTCGTAGCTGACCACCTCGGGGGACAGGAACTCGGGCGTCCCGAAGTTCACCTTCAGCTTCTCCCGGGGGTTGTACCTGGAGGCGGCAGCGCCGGGTCAGCGCGGCACGGCCCCCAGAAAGAGCTCTGCCCTGGGAGAGCCCCCTGCCCACGCCAGCCAGAGGGAGCCTGCTATTATCCTTCCCCAAACCGCTCTGCCCTGCCGCCCCATGCCGGACTGCGGCTCCAGCACCCCCAGCCAGGGCAGGGCAGGGCAGCAGAACTGCAGCCCCGACACCCCCAGGACCCGGCAGGCTCCTGGCCCTGCTCCCCCCTGGGCCAGAAGGGATGGGAGAGGGGTAGGTACCTGCGGGCCAGGCCGAAGTCGATGATCTTCACCATGTGCCCGGTGGCCGCCACGCACAGGATGTTCTCCGGCTGCAGGGACGGGGACCCCAGCGGTGAGACCCTGCCCCGCTCCCCAGGGGCCACAGCCTCCCTGCCCTTCCCTGCGGCCGGCCCGCCGCACCTTGAGGTCCAGGTGCAGGACGCGCATGTGGTGCATGAAGGTGATGCCGTCGCAGATCTGCCGCACGAACACCATGCAGTCCACCTCCGTCAGGTGGTAGTCTTCGTCGATGATGCGCTCGAACAGCTCCCCGCCCTCCACGCTGCGGGCACCCGAGCCGCCGGTCACCCCACGGGCTGGGAGGGATGTTCAGCCTGCCCGGGGATGGGGGGCAGCGGCCCAGAGGGGGAGGAGACCCCCCAGGGCAGGGAGGACGGAGCTGGGGCAGTGCAGGGACAGGGACGATCCTGATCCCAGGGTCCGGGACATGGAGATCAATGTCTCACCTGGGCAGGGCAGGGCAGGGCAGGGCAGGGCAGGCTGGGAGGCAGAAGGAGCTGGTGCTACCCCAGCTGAGCCACTGCGGCACTGGGACTCAAGCCAGGGAGATGCCTCTGGGCCTGCTACCCTGGCAGTGCCGGCTGCCCTGACCCCCACCCTGAGGATACCCCCACCCCGGGTGCCCTCGCCATGGGCAGCTACATCCTCAGGCCCAGCCCCGGCACCAAGCCGCTGCTCACAACTCCATGAAGAGCATGATCTCCCGCGGCGTCTCGATGGCATCGTAGAGCTGGATCAGGTTCTGGTGGTTCAGCTGGTTCATGACGTCGATCTCGACCAGAGCCATCTCCTGCAGGACGGGCACCGCAGGGTCAGTGCTGCCCCCCGCCCCGTCACGCCTGTCTATCCGTGCACACAGGTGTGCAGGCCGGGGGGCACGGAGCACGGGCCCTGCCTGCACCCACCTTGTCCTTGGGGCCCTGTTTCCGGATGATCTTGGCAGCCAGCTTGAGCCCCGTCTGCTTCTCCGTGCAGGTGCGAACTTCCCCGAACTTCCCTCTATGGCACAAGGGGAGCGGAGGCTGGAGGCCCAGGAGCACAGAATGGAGCCTGGCTCCCCCAGGCCTGACCCCATGCAGCAAGGCGCTGCCAGGGGCTCTGCTCCGCTGAGAGCCTCCAGCAAGGCAGGATGGAGGTGCCTGGGGGTCCGGTAGCCCTGCATGGACTCCCTCGATGCAGGCGCCGTGCAACATGCACACATTAACAGAGCCCCATAAGCTCAGCATCAACTGCCTCTCCGGGCCCAAGTCAAGGGACTGGCCCAAGGTCGTGCAGTGGCAGAGGCAGAAACGCTGCCCACCCCACCCCGGAGGTGGGACCCACAGGCTCACCCCCCCAGGATGTCCTTGGTATTGATGCTGAACAAGGTGCTGGGGTTGGCCGACTTCAGCGTGACGATGCGGTGGGTGAAGGGGGCTGGCGGCGGGGGCATGTCATCTGTGGAGGCAAGACAGGTTGGGCACCCTCTTCGCGCCCGGGCGGCCGAGCACGGCAAGAGGCTGGCATCTAGTGGCCAAGGCCAGGTACGGCGTGTCCTGGCTCCGCAGTCCCCGGCACCCGCTCCCCCCAGCAAACAGAGCCCCCCGTGCACAGCCACAAAGGCCATCAGCCTCGAGTCTGCCAGGCTCGGCGCCCGCCTGCCTGCAGCTCCCAGCCCCAGCGCCCTGCGAGGCCTCTCCGGGGCTCCCCAATCTCCTCGGCAGCCAAAAGTCCTTGGCGCTCTGCTCCCCACCTGCACCCTGCAGCACCTGGGCTCCCTGCCCTGTGCCCGCCTTACCCAGGATGGAGAAGGGGTCCTCTTTCCCGAAGTCCGGCGTGAGGTAGGGGCTGGGCGGGGGCTCCAGCTCAGGGGACGAGGGTCCGGCTGTCCCCTCCTCTTCAGGGGGCTTCTCGGCAGGGCTCTCGCCTGGAGCCGGCTGGGGGGGCTCTGTGGAGCTGGGGGGCTCTGGCAATGTTCTGTCCTCGCCATCGCCCTCGGGCGTCTCTGGAGACCCTAGAGCATCCGCAGGCAGGTAGGGCCCCTCCACCATGTCAAGGTCTCCAGGCATCGCGTCGGCTGCCGTGGTGGGAGCCGCCGGACCCTGAGGCCTCTCCTCCCCCTGCGCTGCAGGGCCTTGGGCAGCTCCTGGCCCGGGCTCCTCCGCTACCCTGGAAGCGAGAGGCAGCCAGGTGAGCCGGGAGCCTCGCGGCCCACGAGCCCCTCGGTCAGCCCCGCGGGCGCGTGGAAGGGGCCGGCCTGCAGAAGCTGTGGGACAGAGCCCGGCAGAGCTGGGCCCAGGCAGGACCAGACACGCTGGACACGCTGCCCCCGGCCCCCCCACCCAGCTGCGCTGCCCAGGGCAAGGCAAGGGGAGCCTGCACGAGGGTCCCCAGGAGCAGGCCCTGCGCCCCACCAGCCCAGCCCTGGCAGGACCCGGCGTCACCTCTGGGGAGCAGCGGGGCAGCTGTAGCTCTGCTGCAGGTTCGGCCGCTCGGGCAGGCTCAGGCGCTCGGCCCCCTGCTCCATGCCTGCCAGGCGCTCTCCAGCCTCGCCCTCCGCCGGCTGCACGGCTGGGGGGGCCGGGGCCCCGGCACTGCCCTCTCCGGGCCCGTCAGTCTTGCTCTCCGCTGGCTCCGTAGCCACGAGGACCGGCTGCCCAGAGCTGCCCTCTGCCATCTCTCCGGGTTCGCTCTCCGCCGGCTGCACGGCTGTGGGGGCAGCGGCCCCAGGGCTGCCCTCTCCTGCCTCTCCAGGCTGGCTCTCCGCAGGCTGCGTGGCTGCAGGGACGGGCTGCCCAGCGCTGCCCTCTGCCCCTACGGCGCCCTTCTCCTTGCCCTCGCCCCCTCCGGCATCAGGATCGCTGCTCGGCCCCGCGTTGTGCTCCATGGGGCCGCGGCTGTGGCTGGCTGCCCTGCGCTGCCCTCCGGACCCCGGCGCGGCTCTCCCGGCTTTGCACGAGAGCAGAAAGAATCGGTGGCTCGTGGGCCTGTGCCAGTCCCTGCTCACGGCCACCAGATCTGCCTCCATCCCGGCCCCCCGGGCTCGCTTTTAACCCCGTGGCCGCAGCCCCTTGGTCCCGTGGCCTTTGTGGACGTCCCACGTGGCTCCCAGGCTGCGCCATCGCGCCCTGCCGCGGCCGAACTTGGCAGGGCCAGGACACCGCTCGCCTCTCACGTGGGCCCCTGGGGCTGGGCAGGAGGCAGAGGCCACGGTGCCAGTCCAAGTCCACGTCCCCTCTCACCCACCCACGTACCCACACAGGGGAGACGAAAACAGCCCACGAGGGACCAGAGCCATCCCTGGGCAGGTGGCAGGGCTTACCCGCCCCTGGGCTCTCTGCGTGGAAACCTGCAAGCGCCTGATGCAGGGGGAAGGGAGCAGGACCCCCCACCCAGCCACGGGCACCCCTGAGCACGTGCAGACATCTCGGCCCCCTCTGCCACGGCCGGTCTCGGCATCCTAGCGTGGGCCCCCACACCCCCTCCCACAGCTGCCCCGGGAACCGCTGGGCACCAAATCTGCAAGCAAACCCATGCCCAGCTCCAGCTGCTCCCGGGCCCAGGCCCCTGCAGGGGGTGGGGGGAGGAAGCCCCGACGACTGGGGTGTGACCTGCTGCCGTGCAGCCTCCAGGCATGTCGAGCCCAAGGAAGCCCCAGCACTGCCCGGGCACCACGCACCAGGCAGGGCCGTGCACCCATGAAGAGCGATGGGCTGGTGAGCGAGCCCCTCTCAGCCCTCCGCCCCGCAGGCCGCTGTTACCTGGATCCTGGCTCTGCAGCGCGCCCAGGGGGCTCCTTTCTCCCCAGCCGCCTGGCCAGCAAGTCCTACCCCTGCCCTGCCATCCCCGCCCCAAGAGGGACAGGAGCAGGCACCAACCAGACACCGTGGTGCCCCTGAAACACAACCCCGGCTCTGCTACGTGACTGTCCCAGGGTAGGGACAGCCCCTCCTGGCTGGACCGGGAACAGCCATGCCAGCCAGTGCTGGCTCCACCGTGCATCCTGCTGGTTTAACTGGGAGTGGTGCTGGCCGGGGCAGGTGCCCCTCTGCGACAGGCGGCGGGCGCCAGGCACCCCCACGGTCCCTGCACCTGGGGCAGCTGCTGGGGCTCCAGGCCGGCGGGCAGCCCCTGCCAAAATAGCACTACCCGTTGCGCCTGGGATCCGGCAGCAGAGCCCCGGCGCGACGCAGTCGGGGGTGCCCGGCGAGAGGAGGCCGCGGCCTGCTTACCTGGAGAGGCCGGGCGCGGCGGTCAGACCTGGCGAGGCAGCAGCAGGCGGCTGTGGAGCGGGCGGGGATGGAGCGGCCCCCTTCTATACTGGGTGTAACAGAGCTGGATTAGCGCGGGGAGAGCAGTATCCTTTACACCCGCCGGCCACCACCGCCGCTGCGCGGTGCCTGCGGCCACCTGTCGCTGCTGGAGCCCGTTCAAAGGACACTCCATTCTTCCCGCTGCCCTCCGCCCGCAGGAGACGGCCCCGAGCAAACAGAAAACAGATGATGGTGCTTCTGGCCCCCTGCCCCTCTGCGGGCAACGCGGCATCCCGCCCCAGGGACCTCCTTCGCCCAAGGGACGGGGGAAGGCAGGTGCCAGCCTGAACCTGCGCCATGGGAGCGCAGGCGGAGAGGGGGCAGGAAACTTCTTCTCCGAGGGAAGTCCCCGGGGAGCGAGGGGTGCCCAGGTGCCCTTCCCCATGTCGCCAGCTGCCCAGGGCCCCTCTGCCCTGGGCCGTCGGGGGAGGCGCTGCCCTGTGCCCAACAGCTCTTGGGACCTGCCCCGTTGCAGAGGGGGAAATCCCCATCCGAGCTCCCAGCAGCACATCCAGGCTGCCCTGTGGGTCACATCCAGGCTGGAGCAGTGCCTCTGACCCTGGGCTCAGCGTGGTGCTGCTGGGTGCCCCTAGATGCCCGGTCACCACCCAGCAGGTCGCCTATAGCCCTGGGACAGCACGAGCCGCAGCACCCTGCGCTGGGGCTGAGGGCCTGTAAGGGACCCCCCGCCCCAGGCTCTGCTGGCACCTTGCAGGGCAGGTGCGGGGAGCCAGGGCTATGCATGGGGTCGTCTGTAAGATGCCCCAGCCCCGAATCTGGGCCTTGCCCAGCTGACGAGTAGAGGTCTCGGCGTCTCGCCACGTGACAGGAGCACGGGAGCCACGCTGCAAAGGTGCCCGAGGCCCAGCAGTGCTGGCACCAGACCCCCGGGTTCTGCTCCTCACAGGCAAGCCAGAGGGACATGGGGGTGGCTCCACGGCTGGCTGGCCCCGAGCTGCAGCTCCTCCCGGGCTGTTTTGGGGCTGGCAGGGTTCCTAGCAGAGGCTAGGAGCCTGAGCTGCAAAGTCACCTCCGGGTTCCCCGGTGCTGCCCCGTGCCAGGGCCGTCGTCTGGCGGGTCCGCGGCCTCCTGCTGCTTGGAGGTCACAAGCTTTGAGTCATCCGTGCTCACAATCCCAGCGTCTCCCCCACCCTCCCCGCACGCAGCAGGGACCACGGGCTCCGGAGACCCACGGCGCTGGGGATTCAGAGCAGAGCTCTGAGTTCCCGTCGCCGGTGAGCCACGGCTCGAGGGCGGCTCGCACCCAGGCGCTGGCGTTCCTCCTCTGGGACGCAGCCGCTGTTGGCATGCAACACGCGGCCGTCAGCACTGAGCACCCCGAGGCGCTCTGCATCCAGGCCGAACTGCGCTCTGGGGAGAAGGGGGAGGCGAGATCAGTGCTGCTTGATAGAGAAGAGGGCAGGTTAGATGCCACCCCTCCAGCCTATGCACGCCAAGCTGGTGCCGGGTAAGGCTGGGATGCCTCCGGGCACTGGCTACACTCAGTACCCCACAACCCTCCCACCCCACAAGCCCTCCGGGCTCCCGTGGCTACCAGGACCCACCCTTTCAGGCCACGGCTCTTCCCCAGTTGCTGGGGCCTGCAGAATCCCCCTTTTCCCCTGCACAGTCCCCAGGAGGGTTCAACAGTTTGGCCTGGCCTGCAATTCCCCACTCTGCCGCTGCCTCCATCAGTGCCCTCGGGTGCATCACTTGCCTCTGTGCTCCCATGCGCTGCAGCCCTGCCCTGCATCCCAGGGGGCTGCGTGTCATGGAGCCAAAGGCCCACGGCACAGCTGGGCCTGGCCCCATGCCCCCCCAGCAGGCAGGCTGTCAGCCAGCCCAGGGAGACCCCGTGTTTGTGCGGTCACTTCTGATCCCAGCACAGCCCTGGCAGCCGGCCCCCACCTGGGGCTCTGCACCATGGCCAGTGCTGGAAGCACCTCCTTCCTCGTGCCCGCTAGAGGGGAACCAGCCCAGCAGGAGCTCTGCACGGTACGGAGCCGGGAGCCGGGGCCGGCGCGCTGCCCTGCAGCCTGGCATGCTCGGAGCACTGCAGCCCCCGGAGGCCTGGTAGCAGAGCCCAGCAACTGAGATGCTCTGTCAAGCCGCCAGCTCCGCGCTTCTAGCTAGTCATCAGCTTCCTTAACTCTCGTGCTGGGAGTCGGGTTTAACGAGCGGCGGAGCCAGGACGTGGGCACAACTGCCTTCAATTAAAAGAGCCCTGCTAATTGCTGTCAGGCGGGAGTCGGAGCAGAGACTCCGCTCCTGCTTTCACCTTTGTAGTTTTGGGGGACCGGGTTGCTGTGGGGTGCCGAGTCCCAGCAGGATGAAAGGGCAAGTTTGCCAGGGTTTGTCTAGAGCCTGCCAGAGCCCCACTGCTCCCAGGCAGAGCAAGCAGCTGGGCAGGCAGCATCCGGGATAGGAGCTGCAGTGCAAGAAACCCCTTGCGCCTCGGCCAAGGGGGAAGCAGGGCTGAAGGAGAGCCCCTGGAAGGCAAGCAAACCCCCTTTTCTTCCCAGCCAGGCTGGCGGGTCGCTCCGTCCCCTGGCACCATGTGGCTGAGGCTTCAGCAAAACCATGACCCCTTTCAACCCCTTCTTTTAACGAGATCTCTGCATCCAACCAAGCCTCCCTTCCTGGGAGCCACCAGGCTGCATTGGGCTGCCAAAAGTGCAAGGAGCAGGGAGGGCATGTCCAGCCAGTTGCAAATCACACCTGGGAGAGGGGGCATTGTGATAAGGTGGGGGGTTAACAAGGAGGAATAAATGCCAGACAGGGCACCTGCCTGGGGACTCGTTCTCGTATGCAGGCATTAGCACCCCACACGTGTCCAGGGTCATTCAGTGTATAACAAGGGTATAAATGATGCAGCTTCCATCCCATTTTGGCTGCATAAGCTGCCGGCGGGCTGGTTGCACAGCGAGCTGAGGCTCTCCGGTTAGAATCACTGCGGTAAGTTTAACAAGCGCCACGTGCAGCCAGACAGGGCCCAAGCTGAACCGTGCGGGGCTGAGGCCTGGCCAACACAGCCACTTGCAACACGAGCGCTCAGAGACCTCACCTGGGACAGCCTGGGCTTGCCCACAGCTGCGGCTCACTGGAAACCAAGGAGCCTTGTTCTAGCCCTTGAAAGAGGAAGAGCTGGCAGTCAGCCTGCGTCCACTTCTCATGCCTCATCTACTCATTCTCTCTAGTGCATTCACAGCACGAGCGATGTGGGGTAGAGGCCAAGAGAGCTGGGACCCAGGGAGGAAGGAGTTTGCAACAGCAGAGTTGTTCTGGGAGAGGAACTAGAGAGGCAAGGGGAGCAGGGGTGACTGGCCACAACCGCTGGCTTCCACCATGTGCACGAGGCAGGGGCAGTGGCAGGCGTGGGGACAGCAAGGCACGGCTCTGAAGTGCACTGAGCATTTGCAGCACCAATAGGCTTTGGCCCCGTTATGCTCAGGGAGGTGCAGGGCCTGCTCACAGCGGTGGCTCCAGGCAGGAAAATGAGGTTCTTAGCAAGTCCCAAGAACCACGTTACAGGTGTCCAACACGTTCCACACCCGCCACCCATGTCCGTCACACCAGCGGGCTAGTGTTAGGTGTGTGCATTTGCAGCTGGCTGCATGCCGTCAGGTGTAGCCCAGGAAGCGCGGTGAAGGCAAGAGGAGCCAGACGGGTTCTACCAGCAAGGAAGGATGTAAAGAGGGGCCTGATCTTTTGATCTCGCCCATCCAGGGCCTCTTGCTACCAGGGCTAGAAATTCCCTCCTCTGCTCCCCGCAGCAGCCAGGGCACCCAGGAGCCACCTCCCTGCGTCATGTCAGGCACTTGTTGCTGCCTCTTCCCACCACAAGCCAAGAAAAGAAGAATGAGTCAGTTTGCCTTCCCTGGCATAGCAGCAAGTTAACACCCCAAGGCTATTCCATTCACCTCCTCAGCCCCTTCTGAAGTAGGCTATTTCCCAGCCAACAGCAGCAGGGCTACGAGGTGGCCTAGCGAGATGCAGGGCAAAGACACCTGAACAACAGTAGGGAGCAGAGCCCACGGGTGGGGCCGCAGCAGGTCTGTTGCTCAGCACACATCACATGGAGGTGCATGGAAGCAGGACTTGCATACGAAGATGGAGCTGTGGACTGCGCTGGGGGCCAGTCATGCAGAAAGGCAAAAGCGTGCCTGGCAGCTGCGAGCCCATAACCCAAGTTCCCAGCTAGTACAGATGCAGAAGCAAGGACAGACTCTGCCTTCAGGCCACCTTGAGAGGTGCAGTGGAGAGGAAATGCCCTACATGGGGCAGGGTGGGAAGACACGGAGCGGGGGTGCAGCAGCCTTGCTGCCGACATCCCACTGCCCTGTGGGGCAATCAGCACCAGCTTGCAAGGCTCTTCCCTGGGAACCTCTTCCCAGCCCCTGGGTCCAGATGGGACAGATTAAAACCAAGCTGCCCCTCAAGTGTCTGCTGTAAGGGGGCTCTAGAGAATGGGAAGTGAACGAGAAAATGCCAAGTGTTTTTTTTTTTTCCACTCAGGAACTTGAGCCAGCATCCACATTGGCTCTAGCTGGAAAACAGAGTGTCCTGGGGATACTTGGCATAGCATCAAGCATGCCAGTTCCC